TGTATCCCTGTGTTGCATTTTGGATGTTCCCGCCTCTGTCTTCAGCAGGGGGCAGGATTTGTCCTCCCCAGCTGGCTCTCGCAGCAGGCAGTGTGACATTTTGAATGCGGTGACATTAGAGGTGTCACTTGCTTCTCACACTTATCTTGAACCGCTCTCTGTACCATGTCCTATTGTGGGCCCATCCTCCATTGGTTGAGATTGGGGCTAGTTGGTTGGGATTCGGACCAGCTGGTTGGGATTGGGCCCACATGCGCTTGTGACCACCCCACGGGTGGTGAGCTCCCCTCTCTCGGAGAAGCTTTTGGCTCCAGAGCGTTAGAGTCGTCGTCGTCCGCCGCCGTCGTCGTCGTCGTCGTCGTCGTCCCCCCCCCTTCAGGGTCGGCGGCACCGGCCGTAAGGCCTTCGCAGTCGAACTAGCGAACACTCATTCTCCACGAACCCTTTCACAAAGCATTCTTGGGTAAAACTATACGGCAGAGCCAAACGCTGGACGTCGAGTGACAAGCCTTATCCTTCTCCCTTTACCTCGTCCTGCCGAGTTCCACGGAAAACTGCAGTGGACCTCCCTGGCGGCCACGACAATTGTGCGAGCCACCAGCCCCCAGGGAGGCGAGGTTTAGTTTGGAAGGTGGCGACGGTTTCGCACCCATGGAGGGCAATGTCCATTTGTGTCCGAGTGAGAGTCACACCGCGGGACATCCTGGAACGCGCAGACATGACAATGACGCAATTGGCAAGCCCACAGAAAGAGCGAGGTCTCACTTGAATCCGCGAAGGCACCGTTCCGCAGGACCTTCCCTTACCTCAGGGAACAAGCTTCGGTTGCGCAATTGGCAACCTTCGGGGAGGGCGACGTCTCATCTAGATGCGCGTAAGACGTCACTCGGGTGGTACAAGGGCGCGGCCAATGCACCGTAATATTTGTGGATTCCCTTCAGACGCCGCTCCAACGCGGTACGGTGGATAGATGTTCAGCTTTGAGGGCCGAAAAGCCCGGAGCCGAATAGCTATGCACCGTACCATTCCTGGGTCGAAGATCGACGACGCCCCTGGAGACGCCAACACGGTACGGCGCACACAATTCGTCCGCGGAGGTGGACCTCCCAGGAAGATCTCACGAAAATGGAGACTGTTACGCAATTCGCAACCGTCAGGCATTGCAAAACATGGCGAGGTCCCACCCGGGTCCGCGCGCCTCGGAAGTTCATGAAGGCGCAGACTGCGGCGACAGCATCTCCCGATGGCTCTGCACCTTCGCCTGCGAGGCGATGAGGAGTGCGGGGAAGCTTGAGAATCTTGGCAACAAGTGCGGAGTGCCAACTAAAGACGAAGCTCGACAATAAAGAGCGTGCAAATCAATTGCGGAGGCAATCATGGGAAACTCGTGAATCGATACGAACTGCCGACCTTGGAGACCAATACCTACTCTTCTGCAGACCGCTGCGTCCGCCGGCTTGCCGGTGTAGGCATTATCAGGAGAACCGCTGCACCTAGTTGGCTTCTGGGAGTCACTTCAAGGAAGCTGGAAACACACGTGGCTGGACTCGCGTGTGGAACATCTGGAGGTCACGCGCTTGATACACACGTGGAGGGCCAGCGTGCCTGCCCATACAAGAGCCGAAAGCTGGAAAGCCATCTGGCCACATGTGTATCCAGCTCTCGCCCAGGCCGACGGCGTCGTGTGTATCCAGCTTGCTGGAACGGCCTTGTTGGTAGATGGATCGTGAGATGAGTCGGCCCATGCTCGAGCGAGCAAGACCCATGAGGACATCACAACGTGTTCATCTTAGAAAATGTCGACAGAGGGCAAGTTCCGTCACAACTAGAACAGCACACGCGAGGTTGTGCGCTTTAGAATTTCCAACATACTTCACGTATGGATCATCACCAAAATAAGTTTGCGAATACAGCGAGGAACGATACTGTGGCTTTGAGGCAACAAGAATTATGGTCACCAGTCCTACCCATCACTCGCAATAGCAATGGTACGCATTAGGGTTCGGGCAGTGGGCGAATGAATGCGACCACACACATGTGACATCCTTCGCTTTCGGGGATGAAGCATCTAGGACAATTCGAACGCTGACTGTATGTCTAGCGGGGTAACGAAGAACACGATGTATCCATAACCATGCCGGGAAAGGTGAACGCCTGTCGCGGAGAGCATTGCAGCATTCGAGACTGGGTGAGAGCACACATTGTAGAAATCATACTGTCAGCGTGACGCAAGGTTGTGAAGGATCCTGCTGGACTGCTGTCTACTAAGGGGCTCGCGGCGCCAAGAGAAGCCACAGGGTGTGCGTGCGTGTGTGCCTCGGCCACTTTAGAATGCCAGAGAGACCCATAGAGACGCTACCGTGCGGCTGTGTAGGAGGGCCCAAGAGGACTCGAAGACGGCCGCGGAGGGTCCGAAGAGGGCCTCAAGAGCCCAAGACGACCGAAGATCGTCCCAAGACGCCCCAAGATGGGTTCAAGACGGCCAAAGAGGCCCCCAAGACTCTCCGAAAGGTCACCAAGAGGACACTCAAGAAGCCTCCCGGAGACTGCCCTTAGGCTTTTGGAAGGTTCCCGCATTCTCGTCTTTTCCGGACCTCTGGCAGACGGCAGTCCAAGACGGCCCAAGAAGCCTCCATGATGGCTCCAAGAAGGCCCCCAAGAACGCCCCAAGATGACCGACTAGGCACACAAGTAAGCTCGAGAGGACCCTAAGAGGATCCCCAAAGACATTCAACACGGGGCCCGAGACGGCCCAAGAGGGGCCCGAGACGGCTCAAGGTAGCCCCAAGAAAGCCCAAACAAGCGGCGCCAGAGACATCCGAAAAGGCCCCCACGAGGCCCTGATGAGGGCGCCAAGTGGGCCTCAAGAGAAATGAGGAAACATCCCCCTGAGCTCAAGTGAATGCCCAAGGCGGCCTCAATGTGGCCCAAATGGACCCAAGATGCCCACAGTGGGCCCCAACACTGTCCCAGTATAGCCACATGATGGCTCAGCCTGGGGGGCTAGCGGAATAGGGCGCAGCCCTTTGTGTGTGTGTGTGTGTGTGTGCGTCCGATCAGTGGTATTGCCAACTTGCTGCAACCCCACGCCCGTGTTGGCCGGCATGTTGTGTGCCCTCGGGGGGAGCCCTCGGGAGCCCAACGGGGCTGATGTGACCGAGTGTTGGCCCCGTGACCCCACGGGGCTGCGTGATCCAATGTGGTGGCCATGACCGCCGCTCCAATACGCAGCCCATGTGACGCGAACAACATGGACGGTACCATTGCTACAGCAGCGAAGCGTGGGTACCGAACAGTGATGACCGACGTCAGACTGCCAGAACCTGGGGCAGATCCACGTGTCCCCACTGTGCTGCACCGCTTGGGATGGTTGAATTTCTAATCTGGGCCCAAGGCAGTCACAGAACCGCTCGCACGCGCACGCACACGCCGTACAGGAGTTGGTCGGGCAGCCTGGACGCGAGCGCAGACGAGGGCTACCGGGAGACCGCGCGAAGGCAAGAGGGCGGCGGCAGGGCAGGGCAGCCGAGCGGCGCCCCCAGAAGAGGGAGCCGCCCAGTGGGCACAACACAGCCTGGCACAGCGCTTCTCTCTCGTCAGCACCGATCTCGGGCGTTGCTTGCTGGGGGCGGAGTAAGGTGCACCTTTCGTGCCCCTGGGGCCCCTGCATTGCACCTTTCCCTCCCCCCCCCATTTAATTGTCGCCCCCCCATTGCGCAACGCCCGACGATCGCGCCCCCTGACACTAGGCACACTTCTCAGCGTAGATGGTGACCCGCGCGCAGAACTCATTCATGTCGAACTCCCTGACGTGCTTGAACTCGGGATTCCCCCAGTGGATACCAGCCTCGCGGTCTCTGGCGAGGAAGTTCTCAACCTGGTCGCGTGCCCGCCCGGCGGCAGCCTTCCTCGCGTAACTGCACATCTCCCCCCTGGCAGCGGCCCCCCCGCCAGCGGGCATGCTCTGGGCGACCGATTCGAGGTCCGAGTCGGCGAACTCCCACACGTCCATCCTCGAATCGGCCTCGTCGACAGTCACGGCGCGAAAGCCCAGCGACTGGAGGAGGCACTCGACGGACGAGCGTGGCATGAACACTTCCATGCAAGGGGGCCACCTCTTGCCCTCCAGTGCAGGGAGCGGCCTCCGGAGCACGGTGCAGCTGATCGCCAGGCGGCCGCCAGGCCGCAGTATGCGGTGCACCTCTCGGAAGGCGGCCTCCTTGTCTGGGCACAGGCAGAAACCGCCGTTGGAGATGACCACGTCCGCGAGCCCGGCGGGAAGCGGCGTGCTCTCCATGTCCGCCACGACGAACCTGCAGCGTGACTCCGCCAGGCCACGGTTGCGGGCCCGGTCGTTCGCGGAGCCCACCTCCGCGGCCGAGAGGTTGACCCCAACCACGCTGCCAAACGGGCCCACCTTGGCCGCCGCCAGGAAGGCGTCGGGCCCGAACCCGCTGCCCAGGTCTACCACCACCTCCCCAGCCTGCAGCGCTGCGGCGCGGAACGGGCTCCGCACTCCCTGCATGCGGAGCACGTCGTCCCCGAGGAGCTCGAGCTCCTCGTCCGTGTACCCGATCCTCCTCATCAGCACGCCGGCCAGCTGGCGCCTAACGACCCCGTCCGCCTCGACGGTACCCTCGCTGCCCCGCCGGCGCGCGACGTTGGACGCCGACTGGGCGGCGGCCTCGTCGTGCGCGGCCGAGAAGTGCGCCTTGTACGCCTCCGACGGTATGTCCCCTGCCCCGAACTTGCTCAGCAAGCTCGCGCGCTGTCCTCCTGCAGCGGAGGGAAAGAAAACGAGAACCATGGCCAAGACGGAACGCGCAACTGGCGGTGTCGATCTTGGCCGTGGTCCATCGCGGTCATCGTCTACTCGAAAATTGCCCTCGCAAACCGGCGACGGCCGGCATGAACCATGAACAAGATCGATGTCGACAAGATCCAGCGACAGTCTGCTCATGGTCATCGTGTTTCTTCCCTCGATGCAGAACCGGCCGGCGGCTGCTGGCAGGCAGCTGCCACACCCCCAGCCGCGGCGGCCGCGGCCGCAGAACAGGCCGCGGCGGGCACGCGCAGTGCGCGGGCAACGAGCGTCGCAGCAAAGGCCATGAGAGCGCGTCCAGCTGAACCCAGTTACACCTAGTTGCACCTAGTTGCACACAGCTACACTTAGTCACACCGAGTTAGCCCCAGTTAACCGCGGTTACCCAAATCAACCAGGTTACCTTCGTTACCCTAGTTAACCTGTCGACCCTAGTTACCCTAATAATCCTAGCTACACCTGGTTCCCCTCACATTCCCTAATTTACCCTAGTTACGCAATGTTGCAGTCAGTCTGAATGGGGCTGGCTGCAGGCATCCCAGCCAATGGAGAACCCCAACGGGGAAATTCTTCTGTACAGAAAACAAGTTTGTACACAGTGTCCTTCTGGCTCCAGGCGCCCCGCGAAAGCGAAACCTCGACCATCGATCCTCGTCAACACTCTGGTCTTCGTCCCCCGAACATCGCCAGAAACCCAAACATCGAAACCGGATCCTCGATCCAACTCAAGAACACCTCAAACCCAATTAGATCATTGCCAACACCTACATTCGCAATTCTCAATGACCCTCGCTTCTCGAAGATCCATCTTAGTCAATACCAAGGTCCTCGCACCGCGATCTCCGAACCCGTCGAAAATCCCAAAGGGGGAACTCTGTACAAAACAAATTTGCTGTACAGCATTTCCCCCTGTCATCATCATCATCGCCATCATCCTCGTTGTCATCGTTATCGTTGTCATCATCGTCGTGATCGTCACCATCACCATCACCATCACCATCACCATCATCATCATCATCATCACCATCACCATCATCATCATCATCATGATCATGATCATGATCATGATCATGATCATGATAATGATCATGATCATGATCATGTGTTTAACACGTGTCCCCCTTTATTCCGATGCCAGCAGACTCAGTAAATCAGGCAGCGGACGATAAAGCATGCTATCGAACACGACCCAGCGCTGCTCAAGCAGCCGCCTCCAAGCCCCTTTGAGCGAGGGGCGATACTTGCCAGCAGGGGAGAGGAGCAAGGGAGGGCAGGGAGGGACAACCGTCTTCAAGTTTTTGGTCAGAGCCCAAAAAACGGCAGCGGAACGGAGACACTCAAGAACACACTATCCAGCACGCAGGGCCATGTGTTTAACACGTGTCCCCCTTTATTCCGATGCCAGCAGACTCAGTAAATCAGGCAGCGGACGATAAAGCATGCTATCGAACACGACCCAGCGCTGCTCAAGCAGCCGCCTCCAAGCCCCTAGCCCATTCACATGAATGAACCGGGTGGGAGGGTGGGTGACATTAACCAAACGCTAAAAAGTTAACGGACCCCAGGGCGGCAGTATTGTTGTTATACACTTTGATGGCAGATTATGTGGGCGAATTTATCACAGAACTTGACGGGATAGGCGGAAGCCTTTGCAGAATGAAAGATACCATTTTCATCTTTACCCGTGATCTCCACATGAGGCTGGTTTGTGAACGAACATATACCACGACCTTGACATCGATCCGAACGAAGTCCGTCGAGCACACAATTAGCATACAATAATCGCGTCCGTTTCGGTAACATGATCCGAAGGCACAATGGTCCCAGTCAATAACGTTGTGTTTTGTCATCAATGTTTGGAAACGGGGATGCCGCCACAACATAGACCCTTGGGGATTCTCAATGATCACTGGGACCTTGAAGGACACGAGTCTAGCGAACAAACTGGCGGCCCAATCGGCCTGACGATTACCCAAATTTACCTTGTCTTGATCTTTCTCAGAGAGTCCAGGGAGCCCCAAGATGCACTCGGGTGAGCGAATAGGCCCCGGCCAGTTTCCAGGATGAGGGTTTCGCCTCGCCCGGGACCAGGAAGTGCACACGAGCCCAATCCAGACAAACCTGAGTCCACGCCCAGCGACTGCAAGGAGGAGCTGAAAAACATCAGGATGAAGAGCGTCTTCCAACGGAGAGTCAGCATACTCGTATGAACGCATCGGGAGACCGGCACGGACGCAGGCAGCTGACAATCTGCGGCTGCCCGCCATCAACTCCACACCCACTTGATTTGCAAAACGCACGACACGGGGTAGCTGCAACAGCCCACCTCGTGGACCCCACTGTCCCAGCGGCTTACTCGAAGCTAACGCACAGGCCACGAGGGGCGTAGACGCCCTGCGAAGAGGTCCTCGAGCCTCGCCCTCTGGACCTCGCCGTGCATTCGGGCGGCCGGCGACAGCGCCGACAACAGCTGCTGGACCATCCCGGGCTTTGCATATCGTTTTACGCTGCTGTCCTGGCTCCAATGCCCCCTCGACTTCACTTCTCCGAGAGTGCGGCGGGCCGAGAGGACGTCCTCGCTTGCACCGCCGTGGCGCAACTGGTACAGGCACACGTCCTGCAGGCCCTGAGCCATCGTGACCTTGCGGAATAGCACCGCCATGTCGACAGCCAAGGTCGTGAACAGCGGGAGTTGTCCTGGACGTCCGTGAGCATGCTGGGCCAACACAGGCCCAAGCCAGGCTGGATTGTCGAGCGGCACCGCCTCGTCGGACGTCCCCGTCTTGGTCAGGAAGCGAGTCTGGCCCGCCTCCTGGGCGAGCGGCGCCAGCGGGTCGGCGACCGTCGGAGCCAGCAAGAGAGACCACACCGCCATGGCACCACCGGCCCTCGTGGGACGCGGCAGATCCCTCACCAGCAGCCTCCTCAGCGCACCCGGACGGACGAAGGTGCTGAACATCGTGAGCACTTGCAACGCGGCGTCCCGTTTGTTCACCGAGAGAAGGCCCGAGATTGCTGAGCCCACCACCTCGCGGGGCGCGGGGGCTCGAGACCTCGGGGGGACCTTCTTGCCGTAGCCCTTCAGCGCGCGCTGCACGCGAGGCAGGGCCCTCGGCCCCGTCGCCCTCGGCAGCGCGTCCTTGACGGCGGCGACCAAGTAGTCCGCGTCCCCCTTCGTGCAGCCCGCGTCCAGGAACGTGTCGAGGACCTCCAAGACCTGCACCTCGAGCGCCTCGAGGTCGTCGGCTGGCTGTCCCACGAACGCCAGGAAGGCCGCGTAGTACTGCTGGTTGGAGAGCCTGGCCGAGGATCCGACGGCTGCGGCCTCGCAGGCCGACGGGATTGTGGTCGTCACCTTGGGGGTCCGCTCCCTCGCCACCGCCGCCGCCAGTCGGGGCCGCGGCCCGGCCTCGCCGGGCGCCGCGGCTGGACGGCCCATCGGCACAGGCGCGCCTGCGGCCGCTGGGCGGCGGAGCGGCACAGCAGCCGCTGGCGACGCCGGGCGCCGCCTCGGCGCCGCCACGGCAGCGGGCCTCCCCAGCCTGGCTTGCCTCGGCGCAGCGTGAGCTGGAAGTCGAGCAGCTCGAGCCTTCCGCACGGACCGCTGGACCCCCTTGATGGTCGGCGTGTGCCCGTGGCAGTCCTCCAGGCAAGGCGTAGCCCCTCCAGCCACGCTGAGCGGGCCGAGCATACGGTCCACAGGGCGGCCGAGCGTTCGACCGCTCCCAAAGCCGACTAGGCGCGTCGGCAGGGTTTTTCTCTGAGGCGATCCAGCGGAAACGAGCCGAAATGCTACAGGCTATGGACAGAGCAGCGACCCGTCGACAGATCTGCAGGAGGCCGTGGGATGTGGCCCTCCCACGCTCCAAAGCAAGCACAACCCCGAAATTGTCAATCAAGTACAACCTCCTGGAACAGTGCCGCCCGGGATCTCTCGCATCACGGCGCAAAGCCCACACAGCAGCACGGCCCTCCTTGACACCAATGTGCTCGGCATATCTAAAGGGCGCCGCGTAGACCACACGAAACTGGGCTCCCAGGACTTCCGATGGAACCTCAGGAAAACCCACAGCGTGCTTCCAGCCGCGCTCCGACGGGTTCTCCCAGGCAGTATGAGGCAAGGTGATTTCGTCCAGGCCGTCGAGGGCACGGGCCCGGGGGGCCCACTCAGAGGGTTCCAAGCGACGATATCTCCACCTCTCCCGCCATCTCCCGACGTCCGCGACGACACCCTTCGGAACCCTAGCCTCAGTAACCCCCATCCCGGTAGTGGACGCGTCTGTAGCGATGACGTCACTCGCCCACGGCAATGACAGGGGGGACTGTAGATGGATGCACAGGGTCGCCATAAGCCAACACTCGTAGCGGCAACTTCTCCAAAGCACTTTGGGCTTGTCGTAAGACGCCCGGACGAACTCATACACCGCACGCATGACCGAAAAGCCAGGGCGACAGAACAGACAGGCAGCAACATAATGTCCCAAGATAACCTCCAACTGTCGGCCACTTACGTACGGGCCCGTCGCGAGCCAGAACAGAGCTTTCCTGACCACCAGAAGCTTTTTTAAAGAGCGGCGGGTAAACGGGTCCGACCCACCGACGTCAGCTCCCAAAACGACGCCATTGGGCGACACCTCGGAGATATCATGCATGGCGAATCCCTCCGCCTCGAACTGAGCGACGATACGATCACGCGTTGCAGACACGGGCCCCGGCTCCAAACCGAACACATTCACATTGTCCGAGTACGGGACCTCGATTGGGCCCTCGGTGACCGAGGGAAGAGGCCAGGACCCCGTAGCAACCATGGTAGAGGGGACTCCAGCTCTACGCACCACCTCGAGGTGAAGACGCTGTACGAACCAGAAGGCCCAAGACCAGCCCATTGGAAGTACCTGCATCGCCGGGTACACGAAGTCGCACGTGCCACCGAGGTCCTTCACGGGGATACCAGCGCGGAGAGCCTCAGCCCGAGTCACCTTAGGGAGGCAGAAGTACTGGCATAGATCACCTATATCTCCGCACTGATAGAATGCACACTGAATATCAGCACATGCACTGTACAACTGCCTGCCCTCGGGGACCTCGAGCGAGCTGAGGCTCTCTGCCGCAGCTATCTCCGTAAAGGGAGAGTGCTTAAAGAACTGGTTGGCCTCACGACAATCTAACACGAGCCGAATCTTGTCGGTCTTTTTTGACACAAAGAACGGTGTGACAGAGGCCTTCTTAGTCCTCGTGGAGGTGAGCACATGGCAGCTCGCGAGCTGCCCCAAAAACTGCACATACTGGGCCCGATCACTTTTTAACACGGCGTCCATGTAGGGTCGGACCGGGTCCCCCTCCCGCCGAGCCTGACGAACCTCGGGCTCGGCAAGGAGGCTCTCAAAATTAACAAGCGCGTGCGCGGCATCAGGGTCAAGGACACCCTGAAGGCTGACTGGCTGTCGCCCTGCGGGGGGCAGAGACAGGGGCTCGGCGCGGTACGGAACGACCGTCGTCACCGAACCCTGATAATCAAGACGCGATCCCAGAAGCTCACTGGCAGCTTCACGGGGACTCATATTAAATAAGTCTGGAAAAACTTGTCGGGCAGAGCGAGCGGAGCGGAGCAGCCTCCGTTGTGCCAGTCTCTGCGCCTCGGTGGGCGCGGCTACCGAAGAGCGCTCGCAGCCGTACAAAGCATTGAGGCCCATCAGCGAGTCATTAACGTCACTCAGCACGTCCCGACGGATGCATCTCCTACGTTGCCCGGTGCGGGCGCGGCCTGCGCCGCCAAAATCAGCCTCCTGCGGGTCGAGCAGCGGGAGGGGGAAGAGATCGTCCAGGCAGCCAGGCGGCCTCGAAAGCCCGGGCGGCGGCCTGCAGCCGGGCGGCTGTGCGTCCGGCCAGCCCCAAGGAGGGGCTACGCCCTCCTCCGAAAAAAGCTGGTCTTTCAAAGCCGCGGCGGCGCTGCCAGCAAAGGCGCCACCGTGGTTCAGGTCGGTCATGATATCCCGCCACCTCCGGGAGGTGGCTTCTTTGCTTCACGTGCTTTGCGTCTCTCTTTCTCGATGGCCGCCTCCTTGCCGAACTCGCCCGCCACGTGCGAGCGGAGGCTCGGGGCGACGAGAGTGCCCGCGCCGTCGTCATCCTCGCCCATGAAGTGGTGGGCGCCCTCAAAGTTGCCCTTGTCCGGGTCAGTCTTGTGGGCCTCCTCGAGCAGCTGACGGCGCCTGTTGAGATACTCCATGCAGGTCAGGTTTGCCAGGTTGATGCCGTCGACAGCCTGCCCGAGCTCCAGCGCCTTCGAGACCACCCGATGCTCGCGCGCCGAGCGGCTGGCGGCGGGCACCTTGCTCTCGACCAGCCAGCGCTCATGGGAGGACATGAAGCCCCCCGGACTCCGCGCCATCAGCGCGGTCACAGAGTCGCCCACGGTCGGCGGCCCCTTCAAGTGGATCTCGATCCTCGGATCCTTGTGCAGCCACCCCGCATCGCGGGTGAACGGGACTGGCCCTGCGGGCTGCCGTCGAGGCAGCAGGCGTGGCTCGCCCTGCATCAAGAAGAGCTGCCGCTCCGCCGCCCACTCGTCGAGGTTCGTGTCCCCCTGGACGAAGCAGCCCGTGGTGATCGCTCCGCCCACGGAGACAAACACGTGGCCCCCGAAGTCCAGCCCGCCCGCCGGGAAGAGGAACTCCTGCCCGATCGCGTGCATGGTGCCAGGAACATCGAACACCCAGCTGCCCCCCGCCGGCGACATCCTCGGTGCAAGCGGAGGTGGCTGGGGGGCGCCGGCGGCCGCCGGCGGTGGCGGAACTGGAAGCGGGATCGGCTCCACCGCTGGGGCAACGCCACCTGGGCCGCCGGGGACGCCGGCCCCGGGCGGCTGCGCCAAGCCCCTCGCCTGGCGTTCAACTCGAGCGTGTGAGGCCCCCTCGTTGAGCAGCGCCGTCAACTCGGCTCCCGCAGGCTGCGCCGCAAAGCGGTACAACGGCGCACCCGAGAGACCAGCTGGCAGGCCCCCCGATGAGGGCGAGAAACGGATACCTGAGAGGTCTGCGTTCGCCGAGTCGAGCTGCTCTATGAACACGTCTCCGTCCGGAGTCATCACGATGTACTCCGATGCCGAGACCCAGCCCAAAATCAGCCGCTCGTGCCAGAGCCCGTCATCGGCTGGGTCATTGTACTGAACGAAGGCATAGGTCCCCGGCGCGAGCGACGACATGCCGCTGTCCGCGCAGCGCTACGCCTCAGCCGAACGTCAGCACCCCTGCCCCGCGGTGCGAGGCGCGGCCTCGGAGCGCCGCCGAGCCCGGCAGCGCCGCGGGAGCCCTCGGCTCCTGGGCAGCTCCCCGCGCTGGCGCCGGCACTGGCGGCGCGGGCCCGTCGGCGAGGCCCAGCGGTGGGCTCGGCCCGGCGGCGCGAGCCAGGCGGACCCCTTCGCGGCGGCCCCTGCAGCGCCCAGCGCTCAGCGCCACGAGCGCGGTGGTGGCGGCGCCCGCCACGAAGCCGCCCAGCCCCGCGGGCCAGAGCGGCGAACAAGGGAGAGGCCCTGGGCACTGCGGGCAGGTCGGACACTGCGGGCACAGGTGCTCGGGCCCGCACCTGTCGAGCTGCCTCTCGAGCAGCTTCAAGGCCCCGTCGTCGGAGCTGGTATGGCAGGCGCACCCACAGTCACAATGGCACGCGCGGACGGCCCCTCCCAACCAACTGCCCGCGACGCTGGCGGACGCAATCTGGGTGAGCGGGCCATGCATCACAACCGTCTTCAAGTTTTTGGTCAGAGCCCAAAAAACGGCAGCGGAACGGAGACACTCAAGAACACACTATCCAGCACGCAGGGCCATGATCATCATCATCATCATCATCATCATCATCATCAGCAGCAGCAGCAGCAGCAGCATCATCGTCCGTAGCCATTTTGGCTCAAGATGATGCGATCAGGGCAGATGTCTGGTCCCATGTGGCTGGCTCTAGCCGTCGCGTCACCTCTTGGGTCAGATTCCAAATCTACCAAGCTTTCAAAGAGGCCTTCGTGGCCACAGTTCTTTCATATCCATTTCCTCCCCAACACCCGGCCCCAGTCGCCCGATTGGGAGCCCGCCATCGGCGGGCTCGACCAATGGCAGGACGTGGTGGCGGCGCTCGGGGAGCCGCGCGTGGCGGCGGCGGCAAAGGCGGCAGAGGCGGACGAGGAGGTAGTCAGCCAGGCGGAGTGGGGGGCAGCAGCAGCGGTGGAGGCAGCCAGCCCAAAGCCCGGAATTGTCCCAAGTGCGGTGCTAAGAAAAACTGGGGCACCGAGCGCGTCTGTCGCAGCTTGGTGTGGGCAAGGATCCAGCGCGAGCTCGTGGTGGAGTGGCATGTCTCATCTGGGCGCTAAAGAACGACACGAGCTCAACCAGTGGCGGCGGAAGGTCAAAAAGCTCGAAGGAAATTCTCTCGCAGCTTCAGGAAGTGATGGAGGCGCAGCAGCTGCAGCCCAGTCCTCCCCGAAGGACGAGAGGGTACGGCGCCTTGGGGAAGTGACGGAGTGGAGCCAGAAAGCTCGAAGGAGTTGAGGGCACGGATGAAATACTGGCTGGCAAGAGGCAGGGCGCGCAGCAGCTGGAACACGAGTTCGCCGAGGAGAAGCCCACGTCCGTACAGCTCAGCGAGCTCGAGCGCAAGCAACGGAACCAGCAGAGCACCTCGGAGGCGCAGGCCAGGAAGACCGAGGACACCACGCGGAAGATCACGGGCCTCGAGGCGCAGAAGCTCGAGTTGGAGGGCTAACGCGAGCAGAGCAAGGCTGCGGAGAAGGAGCTCCAGGCGCTCATCGACAACCTCTTGGCCAAACACAAACGTGAGCGTGAAGGTTCACTCGGAGGCGGAGCGTTGGGGGTGGGCGCCACTGCAGCAGCACCTGTGTCCCCAGCAGCCTTGCTCAGCGAGGGCGAACGCGCCAAAGCCTTCTTGGAAGCTTTGGACCAGGCTTCTGGCATGCTCAACACAGGGCACGCGCAGCAATGGGAACAACAAGTCTCCCAGTTTCGGCGGCTGGCGCACAGCGCACGCGACAGCGGCGACGAAGAACTCGAGGAGGCTGATCTCAGCAACATCCTGGACAGCGCGGAGGAGGACAGCGCGGCAGCACGCGCTGGCAGCGGCGACGACAAGGGCTCGACGCGGTGACCCAGCAGCCCAGGCAGCCCAGAGGCGCAAGCTTCGCGCACAGAAGTTCCTCCAGAGCCTCCGCTCGGCGGGGCTCAAGCGGAGGGGGAAGCGTGGGCAGCAAACCCATATTCACGGTGGTCAGCCTCAACGGCAGCCGCTGAGGCCCCTTTCACGACCATCCTCGAAGAGCAATAGGACCCGCAGCAGCAGGTGGCCGCCGACGCGCACATGGGCGATGCGATCTGCTTTCAGGAGCACCACCTCAACGGCTACAGAATTTCGAGCAGGAGCAGTGATGCAGGCAGGTCGGCTGGAGCGCGGTGCTGACCCCAGGCGTGAGTTCCGTGGGGGCATCGCAGCAGCGCGCGGTGAGCGGTGGCACTGGGGTCGCAGTTCGCTCTGCCCGCGGTATGTGCAGCCCAGGCGTGCAGGGTTGCAAGGCGAGCTGCCACGTCTCTGACGGCAGGGCCACGGTAGCCCATGCCAATGGGGCGGTGTATGGTGGGTTTCTGCTGGGCTCCGTATACCTGGACAACGACGACGTCGGCGAGACTAGCCAGTCTGTACTGCAGGAGGTCGGCTCCCTCCTCAAGCGCACGGGGAAGCCGTGGGTCATCGCAGGCGACTGCAACATGGAGCCCGAGCGTTTCCCTCAACGTGCGGGGCATTGGCTGAGCAAGGTTGGCGGACACGTTGTCGACGCGGGCGTGGGCACCTGCCAGCACTCCCCGACCAAGGGCCCTCGGAGCTCGATTGGTTCATCGTCAGCTCCGATATGTTCGACCGAGTGTTCGCCTGCAAGCGCCTGGACATGACCGCGCAGGGGTGCGCCAACCCTTGCCGCCCACGCATGGCAGTGCAGCGCAGCCTTGTCTGCTACGGCGACATGGGCCAGTCGTGCAGGGTCAAGAGGCCGACGGCTTTCCCCAAGGCCCGCCCTTGCGGGCCCATGCTGGAGTAGCACTGGGACCGCAGCTCTGTTCGGGACCAGATCGGCATGAGCGGAACCCTGCAGGACATGGAGGAGGTATACCAGGGACTCTGCGAGAGCGTAGAGGAGGAGCTCGTGTGGGCTTACCAGATCGGCCCCGATGGCGCCGACTTCTATCGGGGACGGAGGGGGCCCGCCGCAGAGGCGAAGGCGCGCCCCATCAAGGGCCCCAAGGCCAGCTTCAAGGGGAAGAAGCTCATGCACCTGAGCGACTACTTCACCCAGGTGAGGCTTCTCACAGGCGGCGCTGAGGCCGATGGCGGGGGACAGGCGCCCGAGGAGCGCCTCCAGCTGGACGCCGAGCGACGCGAGGCCGAGCGCGTGCAGGCGAGGGCCATCAAGCGCTACAAGCGCGCGTTGGGGCGTCGAGCGCGCAGCTGGGTCGCCATTCCGAGCAACCCCAACTACTACGAGGACGAGGCCGAGTGGATGGAGAAGTGCATGCCCTACATCTTCCGCGTGCTAGGCTTGCCGACGCACGTCGCCGCGGGCCTGGCGCAGGATTTCGAGAACCGCATGCGCACCGCGAGAGAGGTCTGCTCTTCGGCGTGGCGGCGCGGGGGTCCTGGTAGACGAGAACTGGTTCGTATCCTTCGACAGCTCGGCCACCTACAGCCCGAAGATGGGGGGGGAGTACCACCGAAGGGTCGACAACTACTTGGGATCGAAACGGTGTCTGGAGGAGCGCGGCGACTACAGCGGGCCCCTCCCTGTCGCCCCCTATCACCTTCGATGTTTCGACCAAGCCTACGGATTGGGAGCCGCACTTGGGCGGCTGTAATCTGAATGGCGACCTGCGGTCGACGCCACAGCCCAACCTGAGTGGTGACCTACGTGTGACGCCACAACCCCCAGTCCTGCGCGCCGCTCTCGAGCGAGCGGCAGCCGTCGGCGACCGGAGCGCCATCGAGGTGGGCGTGCAAGGGGTTCGGAGGACCCTCCAGCGCCTCGCTCAAGGCTGGCTCCCGCACATGCACGCCCCCGACCCTGAGCTCGACAAGGGAGAGTGGATGGAGCTGTGCACGCACTGCGCGTTCGCACGCATCAGCCAGCACGAGGGCGATGGCACCGCCAACGTGAACGCCGTGGAGGCCCCAGCGGCGCAGACGCAAAGGCGGCAAGGGGAACAGCATCTGCTGATGGGGGTCAGCTCGACCCCAGTCCAGCCCCCTCCAGGTCTCCTTTGCCGCGCTGGCGGCAGCAGGTGGAGGATGCCCGGCAGCCGCCAGCACGGGGCAGGCAGCGTCGCATTCGACGGCGGCACCCACAGCCAGCGGCAGCACTGGCAGCGATGGCGCGGTCGGCACCTGCACGGGGCAGCCTTTCATGGACCGCGCAGCGGCACGCTGGGACAGGGCTGTGGAGCTGCGCGAGGAGAGCTGGTCAGGCGCGCAGCCTGTGAGGAGCGAGTACCACCGCAGCATGGCCGCCCCTGGATCCAGCTCCCCTGACGCGCGGGCGATCGCGGACGTCGAGCACTACAGCTACATACAGGCCGTCAAGCATTTCATGCGCTACCACGGCGACCGCCCGTCGGATTCCAGCGACGACGGGGACGACGGCAGCTACGGCGGCGGCAGCGCAGACGGTCGAGAGGCGCACGCAAAAGCATCAGCACCGAGGCCCCCGACCATGGAGAGCCTCCCGCTGGGGGCGCAGTGGGCGGCACGCGTTGCCCTGGCGGCCGATTGTCCCGACCTGTTGCCCCTGGCCGAATGGGCTGCCGAAGCCAGGGCTGCGGCAGCGGCGGAGGGCGCAGCCTTTGCCGCCATTCGCGGGAAGGGGTTCAAGGAGTGGGTCCGCACTTCCATGGCAGCAGGCGCAGGGGGCCTACGCGTCCATCAGCGAGGACCGCGCGGCTGGGCACCTGATGACGAGCTGCGCGGAGCTCCAGCGCACGGCCCCGACCGAGTGAACATCGCGGCGCAGCAGTGGACCTCCGAAGTCCGGCGGCTTCGGCAGGAAAGCGATCGCTTTCGCCCGCGGCGACCGCCCACCGAGGCAGAGGCACTACCCAGGCCCTCGGCCGATCGGGCGCGCCAGGTCGCCAAGGCGTTCAGGCGCAGCACTGGGGTCGGCAGCGATCGCCGAACCCCCAGAGAAGCAGCGAACCTCAGCGACGCCCTGCTGGAGGTCATCATCGACTTCGGGATGCGGTGCGAGGAGCTGGGCGGCTGGCCCGACGTCATCACCGACTCTCTCGCGGTGATGCCCCCCCAAGCCTCAAGGGGGCTTTCGGCCCATAGGCCTGCCGGGCTGGCTCCCGCGCCTTTGGAGTCGCGTCTGCCAGCCAGACGCGACGATCGAAAAAACACGCACCCATACCCATAGGGGGGGCGGAGGAGGCCATGGGCGCGCGTTGTCGGATGGGGGTCCCCGCTCGAACGGGAGCTCCCCCCAGGGTCCGACAACTCGCACCCATGCCCATAGCCAGTTCCCCTCCTGTCGACCCCCCTATGGGTATGGGTGTGAGTTGTTCGCTCGTCAAGACGCGCGGCACTGGGACTCCCAGATTGACCCAGGCTTTGCGGGTGCATCCTGGGGCGGCCGCGGGC